GGAGAGAGAGAGAGAGAGAGAGAGAGAGAGAGTGTTGGGTGTGATTTTAAAAATTTAAGAGCTAGCTTCTAGGGACCTGAAGTTGCTGGATATTCTTTTCTCTTTAAGGTCAAAGCAATAGCTACAATGTTCTCTCTTAGGAGATGAATTTGAACCTCACACATTTGGAGACCCCAAATAGTTAGTTGGGAAAAGGGTTTGATAGTGATGATGACGTTTGGAGACTCAAGTGGTAGGATGCGAACTTGAGACCTAGCAGTTGCAGCGTCAACCCCTTGATCAATAAACTCCAGCCTGAATCCTATGTACTTGAATGTAACAACTCCTTGAAATCTAAGAAGTCATTGAAGGTATTCATTCATAGACAACTTTGGATGGCAGAATGAGCTGTGTTTTACCTCCATTAGCTAACGGTGGACACTGTATCTATTGCATGAGTTGATAGCAAGCCAATCAATGAAAATTTTTCCATGCATCTATCGAGTGCTTTGATTGTCATCAATTTATGCAATATTGACATAGAATGACTCATCTTTAACTGTCTAGATGAGGGTTTAGTTGTAAAGGCCAAGGATCAACAACTTTGAATGGCCCTCAATCATAGTTGTAGAAGCATCACTCTTTGTCATGTCTTTCAATGCTCAAGTAATGGTGGTGCATGTGTATTGCTTATGTCTTGCTTTAATCAGATGTGTGTTGCTTATGTCTTCCTTTAACCAGTTGAAAACTAACTCATTGGTAATTGAAACTTAACTGATCGATATATGGATAATTTTCAGTTTAGTAAAGATCAATGTATGAGATTATACTCTCTCAAAGTCCACAACATTGGTGGTATATTTACCTGCAATGGGCTTTTTGGAAATTAATGTCATCTGCATGCTCCCTTTGGTTTTCTTGATATTGCTGCTTCCTAGTTGTGCTAGCCCTCCTTCATTAGCCTGGGTCATGGGCGAGGGCTTCATTGCCCTGCTGGGCAATCAGTCACTGGTTTATTGAGATGCCCTTTCATTTATGCCCCGCCTTAGACATGCTGTACATGTGTTTTATGTTTGTTCACTTGGAAGAAATTGGGAGTGGGGTGGGGAGGAAACGATGTGTGGGAGAGCAGTCCCCCAAGAAAGGAATCAAATATGAAATAATTAAACAGAAAAGTACAGCACCCAAATTTAAACACATACATGTAAATTCTAGTAATGGTCTTACAGATGAATTACCAAACAAAAATGATCTATGGGACAACCTGCTCATTCATCTTGTCACGTTAAAAGCTCCCCCTTGACTTCTAATGGCTAGTGTAGAATTCTATTAATAGGCTTATGTCTCCATGGAGTTTTCTTCTAAAATGGCCTCACATATGCTTTCATAATCCTCTAACCTAGCAGGACTTGTAAAGTTTGTATCAAAGTTTTTCTCAAGGCTCCCATCATTTAAGTCACCCAAAAAACAAAGGCCCCATCATTGGACACCTCTATATAAACATTTAATACCAAGTTCCACTGATAAACGCTAACAGAAGTTCCACTTATAAGCACCATCTGCGTTCTTCATTTTTGAACTGGATCCTTTCCTTTCTAATCACCCATCTAACTAGAACCCATTATTAGATGCTCACCTTTTTGCATTTTTTTACTGTTAACCTCATTGTCCTTCTCCTTTAAAGCGTTTTTTACTCTTTACACTTCCCAAATGAAGGCCATCAGACACCACTTTATATGATTTAGTTAAGAAAATGGTCTGCTTCTCATAACACCTGATTGATTATTTTTAGACTAATGAAGTATTGTTGTCCTCTCTAGCAATTTTATTAATGATTATTTCCCTTTTTGCTTACTCACTGAGATTTCTTTCAAGTTTAAGATTCACATGGTTAGGAGCTGTATTTCATCTGATCTACAAAGCTGTGATGCATTGACTATGAATATACATTACACTCAACTCTTATTTCGGTCTTGGTTCAAAAGACCTGCATGGGCATTAAGCCAACCTACTAATATCGTAATACTTCGTCGACAATTCAGCTATTTTATCCCATAACTTGACCTGGTTGTTCAGTAACGTTTTCTTTGATGGTTGGTGTAAGCAGAGTGCATAGTATGTATAAGTCATCGTTGCCAGGTAGTGGTAGGGGACTGGTATGGGTACGAAGTACTGCTACTGGTACCGGTACACGAGGGTGAAAATTGTTTCTGATACGTTTTTATAGATCAATATCTATCGGTGAGTTGGTTCGATTTATAGAGGAGAGGGTTCTATGTAATTGATAAGTTTATATTGATATTATTGAGTGGTCTCTTTGAGAGATTCATATTTAATACAGAAGTCATTTATCTCTTCCTCTTTTTCTCTAGAAGGGTATCTCTCTCTCCTCCTCCCTCTCTCTCTCTCTCTCTCTGAACCAGTCTCTCTCTCTCTCTCCCCTCACTGAACCACTTCTCTCTCTCTCTCTCTCTCCCCTCACTGAACCAATTCTTTTGTCTTGGTAATAGTTTACCTTTCTTTTAATTTGATACAGCTACCAACTTAATAGGGATTTGAATTATTTTAACGTGGATTGAAATGTTTTGTATCAGTTCCATGACTGGTATGAATTGTACATGGTAGGCCCACCCCAAAAGAATACCAAGGTAACTAGGCACATGTATTCGGTTTTGTACACAAAGAGATATAGCTGTCATTTCTGATCTTGTTTATACCACCAAGCTCATTATGTAAAGATACATAAGTATTAATGTAGTATGTAAAGAAACAACATATCCATAAGATGGGTGTAGCTAAGATGAGGATGTTGAGATGGATGAGTGGCAAGAAAGAAAGGATAGAATTTAGAATGAATACATATTTGAGGTGATCCAGGGGTGGCTCCAATAGGCGATAAGATGAGAGAAAGTAGATTGAGGTGGACTGGCCATATGCAGCGTAGATCTAATACAACACCGGTTTAGAATGGCTATTTGCTTCAAGTGAAAAGGCTCTAAAGGGCAAGGGGAAGGCCTAAAAGGAGATGGATGGAAGTAATGAGAAGAGATATGGTGATCTATGGTTTGACTGAGGGTATAGCACTTGTTATGTTAGAATTCGTGGGAGCATAGAATGGAGAATAGAGAGAGAAGAAGAGAATTTGTGGGAGCATAGAATGGAGAATGGAGAGAGAAGAAGAGAGAATACAATGTTTACGTGGTTCAGGCTGAAGCCTTACTTCCACAGATCCAAAGTCCCATCCGCCTACATCTTCACTATTTTGGATGAATGTTTACATCTAGAAGTACGTCTATATATAGAGGACAATCACACAATTAGAAGAGATAATTATAGTATGATAACTTGATGACCAAGTAATTTGGTCTCTATCTTCTAATCACACAATTAGAAGAGATAATTATGGTATGATTACTTGATGACCAAGTAATTTGGTCTCTATCTTCTAAATACCTAACTTTATCAAGAGATATATACATATACATCCATAATGATGTATATCAATATGAACCCAAGATATCCATATCCCAACACTCCCCCTCAAACTCAAGATACTTTGACACAAAACAGCTCGAGTTTGAACAATATTAAGTTGCCAAAAAAAATAAAAAAATCACATGTTACCATGGTCTTCCAAGAAACAACCTTTCTTAGGCTCTGTACTTTCTTATATGAAGATCTCTCTCTTCAGAGGCTTCTCTGAAGATCTCTCTCTTCATAGGCTTCTTTTCTTTCTAGAGGCTTTCTCTCTCTAAAAGAAAAAGATTTTTCTTTCTCTCTCTTCGGAAGATCCGAGATCGAGTAACGAAAAACTCGACGATCATCACACAGGATGGACCAACAGAAAACTCCATCAGCAAACAAGATCAAGGAACGGAAAACTTGATCATCAACCAGGATTGAGAAATTCGATCATCTTCATCTCCTCATCTGGAGACGGAATTCTTGATCATCAACCAGGATCGAGAAATTCGATCATCTTCATCTCATCATCTGGAGACTGGAACTCTTGAATCAATATGACCATAAGACTGGAACTCTTGAATCAATATGACCATAACTTCCCTTTGCATAGTAGTTGGACTGAGCCAGAATCTAGATTTTCTTTAGCGGTTACATTAGAGATGTTGACTTCATCTCTACTCATCTCATCTCCATATCTCCTATACTCTCCCCCGCAACTTGGGTGTGGATGCGAAGAAACACCCAACTTGCAAAATACAATTTTTTTCTTTTTCTCTTTTGAGTACAATCATATAAAAAAAATGCCAATGAAATTGGGCTTCTAGACAATAGCCCACATCTTAAAAAAATATTACATTTTTTTTTTTTTTCTTCTCTACTATTTCAATTTTTTTTATTATTTTATTTTTTGTTGGTGGCCAAGCCAACTCCACCACGAATAGGTGGAACATTCTGCACTGAAAAGTCTGAGGGGGAGCAAGCGCGTTTGAATAGAATAGGAAAATAAATACTTGTCCATTGGCTGGTGAAAATTGCTCAACTCCGAGACAAACACAGCAGAGGCCCGAACTTGAACTCCTCAGGTCACTGCAGCGGAGCACAATGGTGGTGTCTCTTGATATAGAGATATACTTCTAGCATTGTTCTCCCCACTTTGCAAGCGCCTAGCAAATTCTTCAAGCCATAGTAGCATCCCATCTTGTTGATCACCGCCATCAAGAGCATGCACAGTATTTACGAATGCACCAAGCACACATGCCATCAAATTTATATCGACCTCACGATATTTTGTGTTAACGTAAAGTAAACCATCCAAGCAATCGAGGAAAAATATCTTCCTCAAGTTACACGACGAGGCAACAACAATGAGTTTTTGCTTTCTAGAGGATCTAATGCGGCGAGAAAGATGGATTGATAACTCGGGCAAAGACGGAATGGGGCAAAGACATAATTGATCTCGCTCTGATACCATATTAGAATTCGTGGGAGCATAGAATGGAGAATAGAGAGAGAATAAGAGAATTTGTGGTAGCATATAATGGAGAATGGAGAGAGAAGAAGAGAAAATACAATGTTTACGTGGTTCAGGCCAAAGCCTTACATCCACGGATCCAAAGCCCCATCTGGCTACATCTTCACTATTTTGGATGAATGTTTACATCAAGAAGTACGTCTATATATAGAGGATAATCACACAGTTAGAAGAGATAATTATGGTATGATAACTTGATGACCAAGTAATTTGGTCTCTATCTTCTAGATACCTAACTTTATCAAGAGATATATACATATATATCCATAATGATGTATATCAATGTGAATCCAAGATATCCATATCCCAACATGATAGAGCAGAATGACAGAATAAGATTTGTCTAGTCGACCCCAAATAGTTGGGATAAGGCTTGGGTGGTGATGATGTTGATGATTAATGTACTATGTCAAGTCCACTTTTTTCTTTTTCATTTTTGGTGGGGGGGTGGGGGGAAGGGGGGGGGGGGGGGGGGGGGGCTAATTGCACAAATGCTCATCACATTTAGTCGACCAAAAAAAAAGAATGAATTTGCCCAGAACAAAGGGAGAAAATTAGTCTGCCATGGTTGGTGAGAACAGGCCGCTGTCCATTTAATGGATGGTGGACCTAGGCCTTAGGCCTTAAAGTATTACAAATACGCATACACAGAGACTATCTTTGTGTGTGTATGTGAAATGATTCAGCATGGAGCATTTGTGCTTCTACATCTCGAAATGGTGTGAGCCCTTCCTCTTCTTCTCTCTGCAAGGTCTAGTATAAATGGTTGGGATTTCGGTGCATAGTACTCTGTCATTGTCACAACAAACTGATGTTTGCATCATAGGTTTTCTTTTCTTTTATCCATCATTCTTGGAACTCCAACAAAATCTTCACAGTGATGATTGAGGTATTTGTAGAGCTAACATGCAGCATTATTGAATTCTCAGGCTACCAAATCTTGTTCTGGAGCTCTTAGTCCTGTACCTTATGTTTTTTTTTTCTTGGTGATAATTCAGTTTTCCTTGACTCTTACTAGGTCAATATGTCCTATTTTGATTGATTTTGCACTACAAATTAGTTGGTATTATGGACTTTGAAGATGAAGAAACTCTTATATTGATACATTTGATATTCAATGTTAAAGTTGTTAGCAGGAATTTTATATATATGCTACATTGGTTGCCCCTTGATTTTCCAAGTATTGACGTTTTCCCTGGAGGACAGAAAAAGGGAAGAAGCCAAACTATTGTCAACTGACGATACGGTTTATTTTAGGTAGAGGCAGAAAGCAACCAAGAAGAAGTTGAACTGCGTGCAAAGATTGAAGCTCTTGGGTTAGAGGTCAGGAAAGTGCCATCAAAGCCTGCTGAGCATATTGATGAGGTATTGAAATTGATTTTTTCTTTCCCAAAGTATATATATATATAGAGACAAGTAGCTTTTTTTTTTTTGCCTTCTCATCAGTTGGGTATATGAACACTGCTGCTATCAGTTTATATTTTTAGGGCTTATAAGGGTCAGATTATGGGTGATGAACATACTCATTATTTATTTGAAATTGATTTTTGTGCCCAAATGGCTCACTGATGATACAATAATGGGTGCAGCTAGAGATAGCAAGGGAATTGGATAATTTATCAGCCAAGTTGGATAATGTTGAGGAGATGATATCTTCAGCCATGGCTCAAGACCCACAAGTCGGTGCTTTGTTAAGTAATACTGCTGATCTATGGATGCCAGTTATCACCGCCACTTCTGAGGAGCGACACTCTTTCTCAACAGAGGCCTCAGAACATACGTGAAGATCGACTGAATTCTTAAAACTGGGCCGTTTGGTTTTATATCCTATTTCTAGGCATTAATTGTGTTGTGATTATGTATGTCCTTATTGAAATATAGGGTAATTCATAAAAAATGTGACTAAGAGATGAACTATTGGACATTTACCCATTTTTTTTAATTTATTTTCAGAAATCTCATCAAAATACACATGACATGAGTTGAAATAGTTGAAAATGGGTAAAAGGCTAAGTAGTTGATAAGTTTAGTGCAATTTGATAAATTCCCCTAAAATACAATAATTTTCTTGGGGATTTGCCAACATATTTTTCATATAGTGGACTTGGTTTTTGTCTGTTTAACTTGTTTGTATGATACTTTACACGTGCGGCTTGTTGTAAATCATTTTGGGTGGTGTTTAATTTAGTAACTTTCCAGGGGCAAATATGTAAGCTCCGTGCAAAGACGGGATGTTTTTCGTTACAAAGACACCAACTATGTATACCAGTATAAAAAATGTCAACCCCAAAATTGTTATTAGACATGGCAGTTCTGTATATCATTAGAGATGGTGGGAAGTAGAATTTTATGTCATTTATTTGCTTTTAAATGGTATTTGATCAAAGGGGTTTAAAAAGAAATGTCTAAGTCTTTAAAATGTCAAACGTCTCAAATCATAGTTGTGTCAAGCGAAAAGTCTCAAATCATAATTGTGTCAAGCAAAAGATGATGGGCATTGAATGGGGGTGCTTGTTCGGACTATGATGGCGGCCTAAATGGGGTGCTTGTTCTGACTATGATGGCGGCCTAAATGGGGGAATTGAATGTGTCAGCCACTAAAAGATCCGCGCTTTGAATAGTAATTTGATATTTGTTTAGCAAATGGCAAAGCTACCATTGCTCAAAAGCTAACAATATGTTGGAAGGCATAAATGTATAATTTTTTGTTGGCTTTATTTGCAAGTGCTTTAAAGTGTGCCTTTTATTTGATGCTTTTGGCTGGGTCTTGTTGGTCTGATCTGTGCTTACTTTTTCATAAGCAATGCCTTGTTGGGTATTGGGTAACACTTATTAAATATACATTTGAGAGCATGTATCTTATACTCCTTCGAGCATAGTTTACTTCTACTCCTTTGGTTAGATGATCTAATTGCGGGGATTTTTTCAATTTGAAATTTTGGCAATCACTTTAAAATTATTAGATGATTATTCTCAAAAAAGAAAAAGAAAAAGAGTTTTCTAACACTTGGATCTCACCCTCTAAACAATTCGACGGTTTCTATTAAATCTTGAGACATTATTTTTTTCGTGTTTAAAGGGTACAATTAAGATTTTTTTTTATTGAGGTTAATCTATATGTCAAAGAGGTTATATCCCCAAAATTTGGGGTCCTAAAACCAGTTCTAGGTGGGGTTTTACCTGAAGAAGTAAGTGGACAGTATACTCCCGAGGGAGTAGATTTTCTTTTGGCTACATTTAAATATCGTCCGTGAGAATTGCTCTTTTTCCTCTTTGTTAGAAGCCTCACATGTTTGTTTTTTGTTTTTTTCTCTCTATTATTTTTCTTGACTTAGCTAATTTGGTAGGAGCATCTTAGTCCCGACTCCCGACCCAATACGCCAGTCAGAAGATGTCGATTAATGTACTGTTGCCATCAGTTTATTTTTTAAGATAATACCCAAATTGGGTGTTGAATGTTGATTTTTATGGCAATCGCTGATATGACAAAGGTGTAGTTTTGGCCTTTTGGGAAGAGGATGAAAATCATTTTTGGAAGAGCATATGGAAAATCATTTGTGAGAGAGAGGGGCCCGAAGTTTCGGTGAGGTTAAGAGAGAGCACACTAGGTTTCGGCAATGGATAGGGTAGTGAGTGTTAAAGATAGGACGTCTGAGATGCGTATGTGGTGAGAAAGCAGATAAGGTAGTGAGTGTTAAAGACAAGACGTCTGAGATGGGTATGGTGATGAGAAAGCAGTGACTTCCAAAACAGCATAACATTTTATGCATAACTAATACAAAAGGTAATACAGTACCTTTGGTAACGAAACGTGGTATTTGCTGGACATTGGCCAGCTATAAGATCTTTGTCTACAAAGTTGACAACTTCAATGGAAAAGATTCTTGGTGTTGCAGGACCAAATTATTCATTTGTTCATGCTGTCAAGGCTTCTTTAACCTCCAAGAACACCTTTCATTTCCCAGTTTAAAATTTCTCTTTCACATCGAGAACTGCTTCCTGGCAATTAAAAAACAAATTGGAGCTCCCAAAATGCTCAAAGTTAATACCCCACCACAATTGATCTCAGAAACTCTCCACCATCCGATGAAAAAGACTGGGGTTTTAAACCCTCAGAACCAATTTTTATTTCTACAGCTATCACAAGGTGAATCAGATATAACTCGGAGAAGTGGAGTAGATAGAAAATCCTTAATTATGGTATCTTACCTGCAGCACCAAATGTACAATTTGGTCATGCCGGACACACAATATGCAGTTGCTCGTCTTTATTATCGAACTCTATTAAAGTTTAAATGGTGAGGTTTGTATAATGTGCTCAACTTACACTGTACAAGTAAGGCGCTCCTCACATTTGCAAGTAGATATAGTTCTAGTGTCCAAAACATTATGATGGCTTGAAAATCGATATTCAATCTTAATTATGAAATTTAAGATTTTCAAAATAATATAGATTAAGCTGACCTATAAATATTTGAAAATCTTGAAAATAGACTGCTCATATAACTTGTTATAAGACGCACTAATTTTAAGACTTGAATTTTTTTTATTTTTAATTTTTAATTTTTTTATTTTTTATACCCATACATCTCTGGATCAAAATGATTAATTGAAAGATTTTCTAACTTCATAATATTATTTTATACTAGATATTTGAAGTGCATTTATAAAATTACAACCTTATATAATTTTGAAAATGGTGTTGGAGTCGTGGTGGTAGCACTACTTATGCCCCAGCTAAAGTCTAAGCTTTCATTGTCGCATATCTCATTAAAAAACCACTAGCGATTTAAAAAACTGGGTACTAACTTGTAATCCCCATTGAATTACCAAAAACAAAAAAAAAAACTTATATAAATTATTTCTAAAGTTTAAAAACAGTCTAAAGCATAGGTGGATCCGAATTGCCACCTCGTGATTTCAAACAAAAAAATATTCAAAAGGAATAGAGCCAATAACCAATTCAGGTTGGGTCGCTTTCCAACAAACAGAATCAAACAAAGGGCTTGGAAGGATTCATAATCGAAAAAGCCCTCAAAAACACATGGCAATTTCTAATTGCCCTTCATAACTTTATTTACTGATATACCCCTCAAAACTTTGTATGAGCGGTGGAGATTCTTCTTGACAAAAAGCTTTCTTGTCTACGACGTTTAAAATTTGGAGAGGTTACTGTCATATGAAGCGAACTATGTTAAAATATCAGAAGGTTTTGTGTAGCTCAATGTTTTAAAGCCAGGCCATTTTTTATTGGGAAAAGTTTATATAGAGCCTAGGCAATAAGCAATCAAATTAGATTCTACTTCAAAATTTTTATTAGAAGAGTTTGTTTTAATGTTCAAATACCGTCGAATTGATCATCTCAATATTAAGATGCATGGACATGAAAGAATATGGATTTTAAGGTTTGAAAATAATGCATCTTGTAATATATTTTTTGTCGATCAATTTTCAATATTTTCAAATTTTCATAGATTGGCTTGATCTACACTATTTTTTAAAGTTTTTAAATTTTATAATTAGAGATGAAAATATATTTTAAGGCTGTCACAAAGATTTTCAGTGCTGAAACCATATTTCTTATCACTATTTGAAGATGGGATTTACTTTGATTGTTTAGAGCCTCGGCTTTATACAAACCACACCCTTTTTTATTTGGATTGTCGATTTACATGGGAATTGGTCACGACTGAACTAGTTCTAAGATTGGTATTAATCATGGCTTAGTTTTCCTAAAACTCTTTTTTTATATATTTTTAAAACTTATCTAGAGTTTTTTTGTCCTTTTAAAAATCACAACCGAACTAGTTCTAGGATGGTATTCTTCCTTCTTGGTGATAACTGTTATTATGATGACTGGACCGGGCCTCCTGGTCCAATTCATGAGACAACTAATTGATGTATGGTTCGTAATAAAAATTAAGTTTATTTGAAATTGGTTAGAAATGATGTTTAAGTGGTCATGGTATGTATTGTCAGTTATTACCGATCGGATGGGTTAAACAAAGTTGAATTTATATTTTAGAATATATTTTATGTTTTTAAACTACTATTTTTATATTTTGTTTTATTTTTTTTTAAATCTAATCCAATCAGTGTGATCGACAATTAAACCAACCTCTCTGATGATGTCAATAATGTACTGAGTCCATAAATCTAAAAGAACTAAGGATTATAGACTGTAATTATGTATCTTTTATTTTTTGTATCAAGAAGTTAAAGTCACTCGTACCAATTAAATGTGAAATCTGAGACATCTGATAGCTCGGTGAATTAAAAATGTCAAATTTGAACTTTTAACCAGGTCAATGGGACACCCCCAGCCTACCCTTTCACATGGATGGCCAAGGGTAAATAGCTTTATTAGATGTCCTTTAAAACAATTAATAGGATATCTCATCGTAAACTTTATCTTTCCTGTCATGCTATCGAATTATCAGCAGGAAGCTGATAATACTCGTAAGGAAACAAAATTTTCATCGGCGCATATCATTCTCTTGTATCTAATCATCCGAAATTTTGATATTCTCGGTATATAATATCAAGCATCTTAATTATATAGAGTAAGTTTGAAATTTTTTTACTTCTCAAAAGTATTAAAATACTTGTATTAAGGAAGAAGTGAAGGGAGAAATCCCGTTAAAAGTTGACTTTTTAAATAACATCCCTCCATTCAATTTTTTTTTACAATTTTTACCACAAAATAAATTTTTATAGCAAATACCCTCAAGTAAAAAATAATGAAAATGCCTTTTTCTATACATAATAAATTATGTTGGGCCAGACATGGTGTGGACTCACAAACATAGTGTCGGACTTAGAGAAAAAAGAAAGAAACTCGCGTGAAGACAACTTTAGGTCAATATTGCCGAACCCGGACATGGTTATGCCAGACCACATGAATATATTGCCGGACCTTGTGGTTTGTGTGCCGGCCATGGGCAAATCACATCGACCTGCTGGACCGAGAAAAGGATATGCTACACCGATATAATACATGCCGGCTCGCCTTTAACATTTTGTCGGACCTGAAATATGCGAGAATTGAAATGTGCCGGACCGCATGTACAATATGTCGAACCCAATATTTTTCAGAACCCCTATTGCATGACCATATTTAAGAATTTCCGAACCCTTTAGTTATCCATAAACAATTAGTGTCGGACCGCCTTTATAAAGCGTCGGACCCATTTTTTTTTAAAAAAACTCGATTGTGGGAGAGAGAGGCGTTTTAACTAAGGGGAGAGCATTTTGGTCTTTTATTTTTCAATTGGTGGGGGCTTTGTTGGAGAAGTTTGTCCTAGGGTAAAAGTTTCGAAACCAAAATTGATTGGGGGAGGTTGTCTACAAAGTCAAGGTGGGGAATAAGGGGGATACGTGCAATTTTCCATAAAAATAAATTAGAATTTTAGGATCTAAAAATAGAGAATATTGTTACAAATGATCTAAACTTGTCATCTTATGAGAAAGGTCATCTTAGTAAAAGAGTCGTTTTAACAGCCCCGTTTGTTTGAATTGGTTGGGCCTCGGACTTGGTCCGCTTAGGGTTTTGTCCGCTCTCCCTTGTCTTCGTTTGATGTTCGCCTGCCTTGTGGCTTTTGTTTGTTGCTCGGTCTGGTTCCAGGCCGCCATGAAAATGGCCTTCGAGCTCATCATTGACTCTAGAAAGATGCCCTATCCGGTCACAAATCACCTCACTTCTTTATAGCCACTAAAAGAGCTCAATTTTCAAGCCCAGAGTTCTGTTGCGGAGCCATTAAAGGAACTCAAAGGAATCAGAAATGGTTTTTCCATCGTGAAACCCTAATTCTCTGTTTTGGAGCTTTCAAGGTAGTTGGAAGTGTGCGGACGTGGCGGGCTTGGAGGAGATTCTCTATAAGCAGGGGTTTAGAGGCTGAAGATTGCCTGAAGTACCCCTACTTGTCTGGTTTCTTTCTGAAAAGTTGCAGAAATGATGTAGATCAAGGAGGTTCTTGTGGAGGAACGGTGTATGAGAGGGAGATTGAGTAACGATCGTGTGGGTTGATTTACAAACCCCATTTCTCTGTTTGAGTTCTCAAAAGAGTGTGAAAGTTGAAACGGAGACACTAAGTAAGAGTTTAGAAGCGGCGAGGTTGCTAATAAATAGCTCAGGACCGAAACTTCTGTATTTTGTTTCGATTGCAGAGCCATCTAAAGAGCTTGCAAGTTTCAGAAATGGCGTCTCTAGAACAGCTTCTTGCTGAGGATGGGTTTCTAGGACGAAAATCAACTGAGATAGCTTCAGAGAAACACATGAAGTGTAGGTCTAAGGTTTCTTCTCGATCGATTGAGGTGAGCTTACCAATGTATATTTGTAATGAAAGGAATGCTCCTGGTTCTGGGCAGGAGGGTAAAATCAGGCTTGGAAGGACCATATCTGATGTTTCTAGGCATAAAGGTACTAAAAAATCTCCGAATAATGAGAAAATTAGGGAGATTTACAGGAAAGGATTGCGAGAAAATGAGAGGTTCCGTGAAAGATTAAGTGCAGATTTTCAGGAGAAATCAAAGTTTGGTAAGGATTATCATAGGAAAGATTCATGTGACAGTGAGAGGATTAGAGGTAGATCAAGTAAAGATTTGTGGGGTAAAGAGGAAATCAAAGATGTACATAGGTTGTTTGTGCCTGGAAATGAGAAATTCAATGGTAACTTCAATAAAGACTTGCAGGTAATTGAGGACTTCCAAGATAGACATGAGAAGGACGGGGAAAAGGAGACTTTTCATGACAAAAATAGACATGATAATATAGAGATTGTGAACCTCAAAGGCAAATCCGGTGTTTATATGGGGGAAACTGAAAATTTGGAAGATAAATTTAAGCGCTACTTTAGTGGAAATGAGAAATTTGAAGATAAATATCAGAGAGATAAGAATGAAAATAAAAGAAGTGTATGCAGATCGAATAACAGTTCAACAGAGAGTGAGAAGTATAAAGATGCATGTAATGAAGATTTCCATTATAATGAGAGCCCTAGAGGTCGGTACAAAATAGATTATCGAGAAAATGAGAATTTCAAAGATAAACCCGTGAGGCATTTGCATGAAAATGAGAAGCTCAGATATAACAGTAGAGAGGATATGAAAGTAGACAAGTCATATTCTAAGCTCAGCATTGAACAAGTGAAGGAAAAACACCAACCTGCACTTGATGAAGCCGCCATTCGAGCTGTGATTTCAATTCTCACAAGTTACATTGGGCGATTCATCAAAGACAAGAATTTTCGGCTGTCTTTATCTCAAAATTGCCTCTCCTGCATAGGTTTAAAAAGATGGAATGATGCCCAATACAATGAAAAGGGGATTGTTGCCAATCTTAAAGAAGCAGTTCAATGTGTCGAGGGAGTGGTTGGGGATTTAAAAAACCATAAGGAATTGAAGAAAGCAGCACTACAGTTGAGTATAGTTGCAGGTTTAAATTCAAAGGATTTAAAGGAAGGGCACACTTCAGGTATCCCTAATTCCCATTTAGCAGCATGTGCTCATCTCTATCTGAGTGTTATTTACAGGCTTCAGAAGAAGGATAGGGCTTCTGCTAGGCACCTTTTGCAAGTCTTTTGTGATTCTCCCTTTCAAGCTCGGGTAACTTTGGTTTCAGACCTATGGGAACATTTCTTTCTTCCCCATCTTTCGCATTTGAAGGTTTGGTATAGCCAGGAAGCTGAGTTTATACTGAAGAGCTCTTCTGGGTCTTCAAGAATGAAGCTTTTGGACAAGCTATATGGGGAACAATTGGATAGTGGCACTTATCAATTCGCAGTTTATTATGAGGAGTGGCTAAAAGAGGGCGCTGAGGCTCCTCCTATTCCTTGTGTTTCTATACCTTCGAGCTCTGTATACGGAAGTTCACGTGAAAGTTCACATGGGCCTTCCCCAAAGCAAGATTCAAGCCCAATTATATCGAATTCTGAGCAGCCAGTGATCAGAAAAAGCTTGTAAGTATTCATTGTTGATTTTTTTTTGTTCAATAAAGCCGGACTGTACTGGATCTCCTAAGTTCTCGGGGGCCAGCTGATTGTAATAGCTTTAACAAACTTTTGTGGTTCATCTAGGAAAAAAAGAAAAACTATGCCTGCTAAAAATTTTTGTGGACAGCTAATTTTGGTTCTTAAAAAAGAAGAAGAACAATAATATCTGGACTGACTCACCTGGTTCTTACGCGAGCTGTAGACCCTAGGAGGTCCAGCAAGGCCTCAGACTGGTTAAAAGGGGCATGAACTTGTTTTTTTGTATAAACATGGTCTCCTTTTTAAAGACAAGGCGAGGGTGATTTACCTAGGCATCCTCTATAGGGACCTACCAAAGTTGGCAGTTTTGTGGTGCTCAAAATATTGTCTAAAATATGTAACTAGGATTTCATGTCTCATTCTTCTTTTTTTGTTTTGAAAATGATAGCTTGCTTCTGAAGCAGGATGTCTCCCTCACTAATTTGTGTCTAGCTCAATTTAATCTTTTAAAGAAGAATATGATCAAGTGTTATTCCTTTAAGAAATTATTTAATATTTGTGTTCATGATGTAGAGCATTTTACTTTTTGCAGGTATAAAGCCGTTTTTGGCAGTCTGAATAACATAGATGGGCTTGGTGAAGTCAACAATGGAAAAGGCGATGGTGATTTGGATGGCCATTCTACATGTGCTACTACTGTTCCTGCAGAGGATGATGAGAGAATTCAAAGTGAACATGCAAAGCTTGCATCAGATTTGGGAGACATTTTAGAGGAACAACCTGCTAGAAATACACCAGAGAATGCATCTCATGATGTGAGTTGTTTGTGTAATGATATAGCTTATTTTCCTATCTAGAGCAGTGTTTCAGCCTATGACGTGTAATGCCCAGTCGACTATGACTCAGCCTATTAACTCGGCCTCGGCACCTGGCAAGGAGAGTTTCTGAGACAAACTTGGGTTTCTTAAATTTAATTAAAAAATAAAAGTTTGTTTAATTACTAATAAATGATAGAAAAATATGCCTAAGATAATTTTTATTTTTTATGGTGATTAATATTTCTTATTAAATGCTCTAATTTTCTATGTTTCCTTTTTTCGGATTTTTCTGAATTGTTTCAATCTTTAAATCAAAATTTTTATAATCCATCTTATCTACTTTTTCTCATCTTTTATAGACTTCTACTAGTGTTTATAACTTATTTTGCTTATGGTTTTCAATTATTTTAAAGTTTTTTTATTTTCTTTGGTGATGTTTGGGCTCAAACAGGACTCAGGCCAGTCCACTTGGACTTACTTGAGTTACTAGGCTCGGGCAGGGGCTGCCTGAGCCCAGGCCGAGTTTTTTAACATTGATATGGAGATGGTTTCAACTTGATATGTGTACATGGGACCAAATGCATATTAACTGCATGTGGAGTCCTTGTGCTTGGTGGTGGGTAATAATCTCTCTTCTCTCACTCGTCCATGAATTTATCAACTGATTCTAGCCTACTTAAAGAAATTCAAGCATCTCAAGTTACATATGGTAACCTAGTTGAGTACATCAAACTTGACTTCAATGTCGAATTTGTAAAGTTCGGGATTTTATTCTTAATACTGTAGGCTGATTCTCAATCAAGAAATCCTCTGAAAGCTTGGGGATCACCTAGGGTAATTAAAGAACTCGAGGAAGAAGAGGACAATATCCCAGGTTGCAGTGCTGCCACTGAAGGTGCCATTTCTCCTCATCAGTTTATTCTAAAGAAGTTAGCCAAAGATGTATTTCAAATGCGAGACAGCGATGAAACAATGGATTCCTTGGCACCTATCAATGTGCCTGATATAGAAACAAAGGTATTGTGATATGGTATACTAAAGCGTATAACTTCTTCATGATGATTTATGATATCTAACATTAACATTGAAAACTTCAAATTTCATCTTTGTTTGAGAGGTGCAGAGGGACATAAGATTTGATTCAAGATCTGAACTCTGCGGAACAGAATCCGCATCTGAGTCCTCAAATTTTGATACAAACAAGGCAAGCTTTAGGTACATTTGGCTAAGAACCAGTTATTTGTTTCTATCTTCCTATGGAGATTAGTGGTTGTATTTCTATTTCATTGTCCAGCTTTACAAAAAGCAAACATTTTGGGTGCAGATCATTCTTTCAAAGTACACCAAAGGATTTTATCTGTCCACTAACAGGGCAGCTGTTTGAGGATCCTGTGACTCTAGAGACTGGGCAAACGTTTGAGCGTTCCGCCATAGAGGAATGGCTGAGGCGTGGAAACAAAATGTGCCCAACAACCAAGCAGGCCTTAGAATATCTAACAGTTCCCAGTACAAACTTTGTTTTGAAGCGTGTTTTAGATGCTTGGAAGTTGGAACATTATAGATACATAACCTGCGTTACCGAACCATCAGTAAACTTGTCAATGCACAATCAAGAATCCAAGGATACAGAGGCGGTACATGTGATAGAACAGCTTCTTACCGGATCCAACCGAGAAGAAAGCATTGACAATGCCAAACACCTTATCTCTCTTGGGGGGTTGGAGTTTTTGATTGAAAGGTTTGAATTCGGTGATTTGGAAGAAAAAACAATCATAGCATATCTTTTCTGCTGTTGCATAAAGGCTGATGGAGGCTGCAGGGACTACTTGGTCAAGAACATTACTGGTTCACTAATTCTAGAGCTTCTGCAGAGCAAGCAGAGCCGATCTAGAGCGATTGTTGTGTCCCTGCTGACTGAACTGATTTGCCTTCACAGGTGAGTTACAGCTTATTATTATTAGATATTGAATCTAGCATTGTTTTTTCCATTGATAGCTATCCATTATCATTGCTTAACCATTGTCCTTGCTAAGAGAAAATAATTGATGTGTTAATTTGATTGGCATTTCAAAATGTATAAACTTGAGATCTAGATGTATACGTGGGTTATATTTTTTTTGCTTTCTGTTGTTCCATGTTGTGTTTGACACCTTAATTGGTGAAAAGCCTATCTTTGCAGATTGGAAGCTAAAATATGCTACAGTGTTTTCTTATTTCCTTGTCAGGTTTTCATAACTGCAGACTCATACTTGTACCTCTTGTTGAAACAAAATTGCTTCAGATTGCAAGACCTGGCATTTGGTGCATGCCACATGTCATCTGCACCAATCTTTGCAGATTGGAAGCATAAAATATGCTACAGTGTTTTTCCTATTTCCTTGTGGAGGTTTCGTAACTGCAGACTCATACTTGAACCTCTTGTTGAAACAAAATTGCTTCAGATTGCAAGACTTGGCATTTGGTGCATGCCACAGTTCTTCTTTCAGATCATAGAACTTACAGTAACTTTATGCATTCCTATCACACACAAAAAAGGAAAGCCTTCCTATGGGTATGGGATGATTGATGATCGTCCATTTGTATAACTAAGTGTTTTTTTTTTCAATTTTTTTTCTGTATATATTTAGCAATTTATCAGATGCTCTTCTCTTTGGCCGATGACCAAAGACTGCGGCTTCAGGCCCTGAAAAGAAACGAAGCAAACTAGTCCCTGTTAAAAATGGAAATATTTATAAATTTTCCAAAATGTTCCAAAGTTCAAATTTGATAAAAGTACTCTAAAATATTAAAAGTTTAAGAAAAGTGCTTCAGAGATATTCAAAATTTGGGAAAATATACCTCATGTATGGAAATTTTCAAAAAGGCTTTCTTTAAATTCAAAAGATACACTCTAAGGCTTCCCCCGTATCTGCCAAAGAGCCAGAGCACTTCCCTATTCTGGCTGAAAGGAAGAGACCCCCCGAAGCGAATCTAATAACATTGATCTTGAGTTTTGCAAATATACAATCCTCAGTAATGCTCCTATGAAATATCTTATTTTATTATTGAAAACTTTTCCAATTAGTTTAATTAAAATTGAAGATAAGGGGGCAATGTGATATACTGGAAAATCATGACTACAATTCAATGGATTAAATTAATGCTCTTGATACCCATTTTTCATGAGAATATCCTATCCAAGATTTAGATAGCCTCCGAGTAATCCATATACCAAACAATGATGTACTTTATTATTATTATTATTAGTATTTATTAATTTTGACATTTGATGTAGAAGAATGCAAAGTGTGATGGAGCTTTCTAAAACAGATGATCTTGCTGACTTTGATATACAAGAATTCAAGTTAATGTTGTTATTCCCTTTGTAAATTTCATTTGTTGAAAAGATTATCAATATATTTTATGTAGAAATGTCTACGCTATATTTTGCATGCAAACACTTTTCGAGTCATTTAGCTCCCTGTGATATTTGTTTAAATCTTTCCCGAGCTTTCACTTAGCTACTCTAAATGTGACAGGAGGACAGTGATCACAGCCTTTCTAAGGGGCTTCCAAAATGAGGGGGTCCCAAATACAACGCATATTTTGTTGGTTTATCTCCAGACATCCCCACTTGAACAAAGACCTTTAGTAGCAACACTTCTCTTGCAACTTGATCTTCTGGTATACTTCCAAGTTCCAAATAAGTTTTATGAACCTCATGCAATGACCAATGTAATGTTATGTTATAAAGATACGAATCAGTAAATGCTGATTTCAAATATCTTGTAAACATTGGAGAATTTAAGGATACTGTTTTATATTTATCGACTGTTTGCATATATTCTCAAGATTTTGGGTAGGGCATCTACAGTTGTTACTCCTGAATTGGAATACTCTTGAGAGTGATACGTCTGTAGGGAAAAGGTGGTCTTCATGGAATTCAAAGTCTTCAAGCTGTTTTATGCTGTGGCCTAATGTTTGAACTTAGGTTGCCTGTCGAAGTCCTGAAAGTTCCAGTCCATTAAAATTCTGATGTTATAAAAAGAAATACCCTCGTAAGATTTAGTTGAAAAATATAGTCCTATGAGTTTTTTTATCATTTTTTATGAGACAGAACATTGTGAACTTTCAAATATGTACGGGGTTTCTTGTGGAGACAAATTGGAATGGGCCCAGTTGGGACATCCTTTCTCATCTCAGGTCTTTCAAGTTTTAAAAAGAAAATTGAACTTAGAAATTATATCCATTCCTGTCCATCATCTCTGCAAAGGCACTACGCCCTTGATTGAACCTAAAAAATGATCTATCAGAGTTCAACAACATCAGGCAGTTTACCTTCCCGACCATGGGTTGTTTGATTACCAACTATTTTGAGAAGAATAAAACTACGAAAACAATTAATAGACAGAGATTGGCTATTTAGTATTACATTGATCAGAAGCTTTCCATGCCTTGCAGGGAGAGCCTAGAAGGTATAGCATATACAGAGAGGAGGCAATCAATGGCATTGTTGCAGCTTTGAATTGCAGTTTAAATGACGAGAATGTTCGGCCACAGTTATGCAGAGCTCTTCTAATCTTGGGAGGTCGCTTTTCTTACTTGGGTGAAGCATCCATTGAAGCTTGGTTGTTAAAGCAAGCAGGTTTCAGTTCTGACTACTTAAAGTCAAGAAAGGACATTCATGAGCTTCTGCCAATTGATGACACCATGCAGAAGGTATGCATCATTTTTTGTTAATGATTACATTAAAAAGGAAAATATACTACACTTCATGAATAAGATGAAATTTTGATGATCAGATTATGATGACTCATTTGTACTACTTCCCAGGCTGAAGAGGAAAAGGCATGGGAAGAGTACTCAAAGAATATGGCCATTTCCCTTTTACGTGATCGGAAGCCATTCCTAGATTCACTCTCTAAATGTATATTAAAGGAGGTTCCACAGTTGTCCAGTGTGGGCCTGGTCACTGTCGCTTGGATCACGCGTGCCCTTGCCTCATTGCATGATTCTGAGCTCTTGTTATCAGCATTCTCAGTTTTGGCGCCGTGTTTGAAAAGCAGCTTGGAGAACGGAAAACGGGTGGAAGACCAAGTTCTTGCTTCTCTCTCTGTAGCATATTTCTTAGATAATCCAGGTATGATCAGTTTTGCAATACAAATGATTGTAACTATAAAACGCATTGGCAATGCATTTTTGTCATGAGTAGTTCGTAATACTATGAGACATGTTCATGGAAATAGTATGGTCATGGGGTTATCAGGTCCCATCAATGGGTTGGAAAGTGATGGTGAGTAGTTTTTGTTGGGACCAACTATGCAATCAGTACTGCTCAAACCAATGATGAACCAATCTTATGCTGATGATAGTCACCTGCAGCCATACCATTTCCCAAGTGATATAGATCATAGTATATTTTCCGGTCATGAATATAAGAAAAGACAGAATACTGAAAGAAAAGTTTGCAAATATAACTAAAATCCCAATCTAAGATATCACAAGGACACAGATCCCTACTGCCTGATGCATCTTTCCTTCGCAAGAACAATAATTGATCCTCATTGTGGCCTTTAATAATCATTTCAAATTTGAAATCATTCGAATGGACGTTCTTGAACCAGTGTGTAAGTGGAAGCAGACACTGGATCGCGATGTATCTTTCCTTTGCAAGAACAATAATTGATCCTCATTGTGGCCTTAATAATCATTTCAAATTTGAAATCGATGTATGTTTCCTTTGCAAGAACAATAATTGATCCTCATTGTGGCCTTAATAATCATTTCAAATTTGAAATCATTCGAATGGACGTTCTTGAACTAGTGTGTAAGTGGAAGCAGACACTGGATCGCTAGGGAACCTGTTCCGATTTGCCAGTCTGAATTGGGCGAATTGTCCAATTCGGGCCGGGATACAGATACCAAAAAAGAAGCAGGTGAATTGAGCTATTCTGAGCTCCCCTAGATCCACATCGCACCCCTACTACCATGACCAGGTTGAAACCGCTTAATTCCACTTTGAAGAGGACTGGTCTGAACTTAAGGGCTTTTACCCAATTTGGGTGAGATCATCTGTTTCCAAGGAGACCTACTTTACAGTGGACTATAATTTATTAAAACTAATTCTCCTTGTTTATGGTGATCATTGCAGATTGTCAGAGTTTGCTTTTGGTGTTTGTCAAAGAAATGATGGAACCGTTAGAACACCTTAGCAAGGAGACATGGACGGCCAGGAGCATTCTTGCCGTCGTTCCAAGAGACCTCTAGAATTTATGGCGATGGTAAAGTTTGCCTCCATGAAGTAACCACTATTCTTTCTTCTTTACTTTCTAAGAATTTGGTGTTGGTGTGTGCTTTTATTAGAAGTAGATTTGAAACAGATATGTACAGGTTAATTTATTAAGCGTTTCAAGCATTGGCCTTCTTGTAAACGAAAAACCAGTGGCATAATTGGAGCTTACTCTTATCATAGTTTTCATTAGTGCTGTCATGACTTTAAATGACATGCCTGGCAGAATTTAGGGGGTCCAAAACCAACACATGCCTGAGTTCTGCATGTTACAGACTCCAACAAATGCAGTGAAAGTATTTCAAGGAACAGTATCAACCAGCAAGCTTTCAATACAGCCATGTTCACACAGGTTTTAAAGAGCCATACTGTTGCTGTTGCATTCAGAGAGAGAGAGAGAGAGGCCTTTGTGCTCTTTCTAATCATTCAATTATTGCGAACATTTATACTGGTGTTTAAACATGAGCCATATTTTCGATGGAGACTTCAATCACCTCAATTTGCTAAGTTAATTGTGGTCACACTATAAAACCTCGCCTTCCAATAACAAGACAATAATGTCTTGCAAATACCTAAGAAACTTGGAATCATCCAATGTTAAAAAAAACAACGATCCAAAATGAGAATCGGTGGAAACAAACCGAGTTCCCTTGCCAACTCTATTAGAGAACCAAGCAAATCAGTTGGATCATCGATTTGGACAGGCAATTCACCAATCCGGACCAGTTTCCTGGATGACCTGTCCACCCACTTGATTTGGGCTTTAGAAGACTAGAATCACCCATCAGCTCAGGTTCAGCTGGCTTTGTTTTGAATTTCTTCATTAAATATATAGCCCAATCTGACAAGAATTGCCCAAGTTGATAGTAACTCCGAATCAAATTCCTGGTGAGTCAAAAACCAATTCCGAAACAGTGCCAAAGAATACATATGAGACATAAAAGCACAACTTTGGCAACTCGTATGGTTCTTTCAATGAGCTCTCACCCAAAATAATGGTTCCTTCAGTGGATAAGAGCAAAGCAAAAGGAAACTGAAAAACATATTGGGGAACATTGCAGTCCTAGTTTCTCATACATAAATAACACTACAATTCAAAAGAAACATAGAAAACTAATATCATCTAATAAAGAGCCTAAATATCCAAATAACTATGGAACCCACAATCCAAAGAAACAAGAGGAAAACAAAGACCCCTGCCAAAATAGTCGACAAAGGTGGCCCCGCTTCACTATCAGTTTCTTGCTTTGCCTGAATTTGGCTGCCTCCACTTTTTCCTTTGTCACCTTCACTATCAGGACCATTGCCCAAAGCGCATATGATATGGGCAGTCCTGATATTATGAGATCTCCTATGTTCCAAAGTAGTAGCTCTGGAGTGTGGAAACATGTACAAGATTAATCTTAGTTCAAATTATTTTCAAGCTTAGGAAAAAATTTACAAGATCAAGCTTCAAACAAAGCAAATATTTGTTAATTTTATACTATAAATAAGGATGGGTATTTCATGGGAACACTAATCGCATGGTTGATTTTAATCATATGGTTTTCAATGAAATGAGGAGGTGATGGAAAACACAACATTTGAACTTGCAATGAAATGACACGTTCCTCATTTCTCCAACCATCATTTGGTTTAAAGAATACTGGTTTGTGTTTTGATGGATTAATAGTGGAAATTTATATGTATGTTTTGGGTAAAAAAGTTATCATTAATGTAGAATTCATGAATTAATGTTTAAGCACTCGATTAAACAAAGATACCAAACTACCAATACCAAACTACCAATAAAAGAGCCCGTAGGAGCCAAAGAACAAAAACACAGTGGGGATGGGGGTTGGCTACTAAGTATCGTTAAGTATTAGGGCTGCAGCCTAGTAAAATAACTGAAGCCGCACCTCAAAACTAACAAAATAAATAAATAAATTAAAGTCATGGATTTAGCGAACCTTCAAATCAATCATCTCAACCTTGACGTTGTGGAAATTATTAAGATTTTGAGCCCTAAAACAGTGTCTATAACAATAAATTATTTTGACCATCCATTTTCAAGTGTTTATGTATCGGTAAGATCTGCATCATTTTTTGAGCTACAAATTTCCTAATCAATTGAAAATTAATTTTTGAGCCATCGTAGAGATTTCTCATGTGCAAAGTGTTTTCTAGATGTGGTTTCAAGATGAGGCTTTATTTTTTTCTTTATAAGCTCAACAATATATGGATCAAGATATTCTCATTAAGTAATCACAACACATTAGAAAGAAACAAGTAATATCAACAAATCCATCAATTCGTTTGATAAGATCATTTCACCAAGTAGTTTCTCATGTTTATTAAAAAAAACCACTTGTGGGTTTGGAATCCACAAATAGTTTACATAGCCAAATTATCAAAACGTTTCCTCTTGTTTTGAATTCTAGACTAGAATTTTAATAAAAATTTACATGTTCCATCTTTGGAACTTATAATATATTGCAGGTAGTTTCATCTAGGCCACTGAGCCAAATAATATAACAATCCTACTTGTTTTAGGTTCCAAACTTAGAGGAAAAAGACGAGAAATAAGTAGAGATGGGTGATTTTATTTAGTTATTTAGGGGCCAACTATGGTGGTAAAAGGCTCGGGTGACAAGGGCATGGGCTTGGGTGGCCAACGCAAGAGCATAGGTTTGAAGCCACGCATAAAAAGTCAAAAGTCATGACCATTTCCTAGCTCACCCCTCCCAAGACCTTGTGTAGGTGGACCAGCACTTGGTTACGACCTTTTATTTGGCTTGAGCGGCCCAAAATACAAGGACCCGGACCTGGCCCAACTCACTTGGTTCCGAATCATTGCAAATTACCAAAATACACTACTCATACAAGATCGCAAATCTTAGAGGTAGCTTAGGTACTGTTAGCAAATAGTCGAGTAGGTTATTGATTGAGATGATCTTTTTCAATTGACCAATTTGCATGATTTGACAACTTTAATTATAATTTTCTCAAATAATTTTGTCCAGCTATCAAATAAAAGGAAGGAAAAATCTTAATAAAAGTAGCACTTCACTGCCAGGAAAAGTAAGGCAGCATAAACATCCCAAACTGGAAGGGCAAATAGAACACAAGCAATATTAGAGAGGTGATATTGCACCAGCAAAACCCTAAACCCCTTCGTTTTTCAACGAGTACCCTAGACTGTCAAAACAAGCACCCACTCTCTCTCTCTCTCTCTCTTCAATGAGTACCCTAGACTGACAAAACAAGCACCCTTCAATGA